AATATCTTAAAAGTGCATTCACTGGATAAACTTTGGGAGCTCATGAACAAGACAGTAAGAGGAAATTGAAAATACAATGTGTCCAAATTCCAATAATGTAAAAGAACTGAGTCAATTAAAAATCTTCCTTCTGCTACTAAAATAGTAGTTCATGTACGACACACACTAAAAGACGACTTCCTGTCTTTACTGTAGTCTCTTTTATTGCCAGAATAATAGGAGGCAAAGTATTATGAGCCCCACTATATATTCTTACCTATAACCACTTCCTTATCCCACAGGTAAGAATCTGTACCTAAATAATAATAATAATAATAATAATAATAATAATAATAATAGTAGTAGTAGTAGTAGTAGTAGTAGTAGTAGTAGTAGTAGTAGTAGTAGTAATAGTAAAGTTGGAAGGAACCTTGGAGGTCATCTAGTCCAACCCCCTGCTCAGGCAGGAAACCCTATACCATTTTGGACAAATGGCTATCCAGTCTCTTCTTAAAAACGTCCAGTGTTGGAGCATTCACCGCTTCTGGAGGCAGGTTGTTCCACTGATCAATTGTTCTGTCAGGAAGTTTCTCCTTAGTTCTAGGTTGCTTCTCTCCTTGATTAGTTTCCATCCGTTGCTTCTTGTCCTGCCTTCGGGCGCCTGGGAGAATAGCTTGACTCCCTCTTCTTTGTGGCAGCCCCTGAGATATTGGAACACTGCTATCATGTCCCCCCCTCGTCCTTCTCTTCATTAAACTAGACCAGTGATGGCGAACCTTTTAGAGACCGAGTGCCCAAATTGCAACCCAAAACCCACTTATGTATCATCGGGTGCCGGGTGGGCTTGGCCCTTTGGCTGGGCGTGGCCCATTGGCTGGGCGTGGCCCATTGGCTGGGCGTGGCTTCGTTGGTAACGGCAGACTGGGTGGGCCTAAAAAGTTCAATCAATCAATTCCAACTTTGAGATATCTTTTTTTTTCCCGCAAGAAGTTGAAATTGATTGATTGAACCTTTTTTTTTTTTTTGCACACGGCGGTGGAGGCCTAAAGCGAAATGGTTTTATAAAATCTAGCTGAAGGCCTAGGACTGGGGCGATGGCGCGCGTGCCCACAGAGAGGGCTCTGCGTGCCACCTGTGGCACGCGTGCCATAGGTTCGCCACCACGGAACTAGACATACCCAATTCCAGCAACCGTTCCTTATATGCTTTAGCCTCCAGTCCCCTAATCATCTTTGTTGCTCTTCTCTGTACTCTTTCTAGAGTGTCAACATCTTTTTTACATCACGGTGACCAAAACTGGATGCCGTGTTCCAAGTGTGGCCTTACCAAGGCATTGTAAAGTGGTATTAACACTTCACGTATCTTGATTCTATCCCTCTGTTAATGTAGCCTAGCACTGTGTTGGCCTTTTTGGCAGCTGCAGCACACTGCTGGCTCATATTTAGGTGATTGTCCACTAGGACTCCGAGGTCCCTCTTATAGTTACTACTATTGAGCAAGGTACCCCCTATACTATACCTGTGCATTTGGTTTTTCTTGCCTAAATGTAGAACCTTGCTTTTTTCACCATTGAATTTCATTTTGTTAGATAGTGCCCAGTGTTCAAGTCTGTCCAGATCCTTCTGTATCTTAAGCCTGTCTTCTGGAGTGTTGGCTATTCCTGCCAGCTTGGTGTCGTC